ATAGAAGTAAAATTTGTAGACGTAATAGTAGCAGTAGGAGTAGTTTTAGCAAAAATAATAGTGGAATAATTGACAGTCGTACTGCTGGCAGTTGTCTATGTGGCAGTAGTAGTACTAGTATAAGTAGTAGTAGTAGTGGTTTTAGAAGTAGCATTAGAATTACTAATAGCAGTACCAACAGCAACATCGATGGTATAAGTAAAATTAGTGGTAATATTTATAGCAGCGTAAGCATCGGTAGCAGTACAAATCTAGCAGCAGCAGTAGCAACAGAATAATTAGCAGAGTCTTGTAGTAGTTGTGTACTAGTATGAATAATGGTAATAATAACAGTTGTAGTACTGAAAGTAATAATATTAAAATTAGAAATAATCGTAGTATTATTAGCGGTATTAGTGGTATTATTCGAAAAAATCGCAGTTCGAGAATTAGTAGTAGCATTAGTGGTAGTATAAGTAATAGTGTTAACAGAATTATAAAAATTTGTAGTGATAGCAGTAATACCAGTAGAATTAATGGTAGTCTTGGTATAACTTGTCGTAGTATTAGTCGTTTTAGTGGTAGTAGTCGTTGTAGTAGTCTTAGTACTAGAACAGCATTAGTAGAAGTAATAGTAATGATAGCAGTAGTACTATTTACAGTGCCCGTAGATGAAGTAGCAGTAGGAGTTATACTAACAATTGTATTTGTATAAGTAATAATATAAATATAAGTTTTCAACGTAAAAACAGGGTTAGAAGCATTAGTATTAACAGTTGCAGCAGCTGCAATGTTTTAAATGTTAGTACACGTAGAATTATTTGTTGCGGCAATAATAGTAGTAGAAGCAAAAGAAGTAGCAGCGGTTGCAGTATTCGCATTACTAGTGATAGTACTATTTATATCAGTATTAGTATTCGATATAATAGTAGAAGTAGTAGTAGAATAAATAATTGATTTAATAATGAAACTGTTAGTATTATTAGCGGTTGCCTTTGCAGTAGTACAAAAATAGTAGCTACAGAGGCAGTAGTCGTAGAAGTAGAAGGAGCAATAGCAGTTGAATAGGGTCTCGTGGTGGTAGTTTTAAGACAAGTAGTACTAGAAGTATAAGTAGAATTAATATTAAGTGTTATAACAACAGCAAGTGTAGTAGGGCTATTAATAAAAGGAGTTACCATCAGCATGATCGTTAGCAGTAGCAGTAGTAGTAATAGTAGTAGTAGTAGTAGTAGTAGTAGTAGTAGTAGTGGCAGTGGTAGCATTAGACGTAGCAGAAGTATTCGCCGTAGAAAATGTAGCAGCAGAAGTATCGGTTGAAGTAGGAACAGCGGCTGTGTTATTCGTCGTAGTATAATTCATAGAAGGAGCAATAGTAGAATTTTCAGTTGTAGTAGCATATGTAGTAGAAGTATGATTAGAAGCAATTGAATAAATAGCATTGGTATATGTAGTTAAATTAGAAGTTAATCTAATAGCAGTGGCAGACGAATTGGTAGTAGATTTGGTAGTAGTAGTATTAGCATCAGTACCAGCGGTAGACGTATAAGGGGTATTAGTAGAAGTTGTAGTAGTAGTAGTAGTAGTAGTAGTAGTAGTAGTAGTAGTAGCGGTAGTAGTAATAATAAAAGTAAGCACTTGAAATTGTAGCAAAAATATTAGCTGAATTTGAAGTGGTACTAATAGTAGAAATAGTGATAGGGGTAGTAGAAGTAGTAGTGGTGGAAGTATTACTTGCAAATGAAGCAGAAATATAAGAATTAGATATAGAAGTTGTAAAATAAGTCGTTATAGTAGTTGAGCAACAGCAGTAGGCGCGTTGGAAGTATAAGGAGAAACAGTGGTAGTGGTATTAGTAGCAAAAGGAGTAATAGTAGTATTGACAGTATTTGTAAAATTAGACGTCGTTGTAGCAGTGGATTTCAAATCAACATTATCAGTAATATTAGCAGTCGTAGTATTATTCGTAGTAGCAGTTAAGGTGTTAGTATCAGTAGTAGTGAAAGCATTAACTGTAATAATAGAGTGGTGGTATTACTAGTAACAGCGGAAATATTAATGGAAGCAACATAGTAAGTAAGTTATAAATATGAGCTGCAGTAGAATAAGTAGAATCAGTAGTAGAAGTAACAGTATTAGTAGTAGAAGAAGTCGTAGTCTCGGTAGAAGTAGTCGTAGTATTATTAGTAGTCGAAGTAGCAGTAGTCTTAGTAGTAGATGCAGCATGAATAGAAGCATTAATAATATTAGCAGTAATATTAGTGGCAGTAGTAGTAATAACAAAAATATTAGTAGTAGTAGTAGTAGTAGTAACAATAGGATTAGGAACAATCAATATAAGAACAGAGTTCAAAGCATTAGTATCAATAGTATTAGCAGCAGAACTATTAGCAATATTAGCAAACGTTGCTAGGTGGTAGCAGCAATAATAATGTAAGAAGCAGTATTAGTAGTAGTGGTAGTAGTAGTAGCAGCAGCCTAGCAGAAGTCGCATTAGGACTAGTACTAGTAGTAGCAGTATTAGTATTATAGGTATTAGTAGTACACATATGAGTAGTAGGCGTATTATTAAAATAATAAATTGAATTTGTATTAATACTATTAGTAGTAGTAGCGGTCGCCCTAGCAGTAGCACGAAAAATAGTAACTGCAGAAGTAGTAATTGCAGTAGTATACATAGACGTAGTAGCAGCTGCTATAGAAGTTTAAGTATTAGTAATAATTTTGGTAGAATCGCATAGGTAGAAGAAGTCATAGGATAAGAGGAATTAATAAAATTAGAATAAGCTCTAGTAGTGGTAGTAGTAAGAAAAGCAGCAATATTATTAAGAGTAGAAGTAGTTTTAATAGTAGTATAAGTAGTTATAATAACAACAGCAGTGGGAACAGAATGAGTATAAGTAATAGCGTTATCACCATCATGATATTTAAAAGTATTAGTAATAGTAATAATATTAGTAATTTTCGTTGCAGTAGAATGAGTAATGTAGATGTAATAGGGTAGAAGTTGTATTAGCAGTAGCGATATTGGTAACATTGGCAGAAGTCGTAGTAGTTGTGACAATGATGTTCGTACTAGTAGTATAAATGGCAGTAGTAGAATTTGTAGTACAGTCAGAATTGGTAGTAGTAGTACTATTAGAAGAAGTGATGGTAGTAGTATTGTGCTGGCATAAGTGGTAGTAATATCATAAGTGGTGTCACTATTGGTAGTAGTATTACTAGAACCAGAAGCCACAGTAGCATTATTTGTAGCATTAGTTGATTTAAAAGTCGCAGTATTAGAACAAATATTTTTTGCAATATTATTATTGTTAGTGTTAGTTGCAATTATACCACTGGTCGTAGTTGTGGTTTTGACGGAAGCATCAACAGCAGAAGAAAGTATAGGTGTAAAAGTGGTAGTAGAATCAGAAGTTGCAGTGGTAAAAGTAGTAGCAATAGTAGTAGTAAAATAAATGGTAGCATTCGAATTATAATTAATAGGAATACTAGGAGTATTCGTAGTAGAAACAGTGACAGTGGTATTAGTAGTCGTATAAATAATGGTCGGCTTAGTTTCAATAGTAGTAGTAGTAGTATTCGTTAAAGAATTAGTAGTAGTATGTGAATTAATATCAGTGGGAGAATAAGTAGTAATAGAAGTTTAAATAAGACCAGCGGAGCAGGATTAGTAGCGGATTTACGAGTACTATTTGACGAAGCACCAGCGATATAAGCCTAATTGGTAGTAATAAGAGAACAAGTAGTACTAATGGTATTAGTAGAAGTAGTAGAAGTAGAGGTAGAATAATTAATGGTAGTAGTAGTAGCAGTGGTTGTATTAGAAGAAGTATAGGGAGTGATATTGGTAGTAGTAGTAGTAGTAGAAGTAGAAGTAGTAGAAGCATCGGCAGTAATATCAATGATAGCTGTTATATTAGAACTAGTAGTAGAATTTGTGCCACAATTAGTAGTATAACTAGGAGCAATAGAAATTGTAGCAGCAGCACATTGTTTATTTGCAGCAGCAGAAGTAGCAGCAACGGCAGAAGAATTACCGGTATTATTGGTAACAGTAGCAGTATTAAAATTATTAGACGTAGTAGAGTGGCCGTGTTAGTAGTAGAGTAGTAGCAGTAGTACTAGTAGTAATACACGAATAAGTTGCAGCAGTACTGCTAGCAGCATCGGTGTTTGACGTAGAAATAATAATAATAAAAGTAGTAGTAGAAGTAATGGTAATGGTATTTGAAGTAGAATTGATTGTATTACTATTATCAGCAGCAGTGATGTTCGTGTTAGTGGTATTAGTAATATTAGCAGATTTTTACTAGAATTTATAGTGGGGGTATTAGTAATGGTATCAGTGGTAGGAATATTAGTTGTGATATCCTTGTTGCGAGCGCTGGAGACCGAACCTTCAATCTTAGACTTTCAATATCAGGATAAGCCCAGAGTTATGAAAGAATTAACAATCAAAAATCAAATTGCCTGACAATCTTACCCATGCCAAGCACGTCGCGTCGAGTTGTGTTCCTTCCATTCAGTTAAATAACAAGTAAGTTCAAGAATGAGAAACTGGTAGGGAAAGCCAAGATAGTTTGGCGCCTCGGCACAGTACCCCCCACCGAGACCGGAGGCCGGCGAAAACGACGCCGAAGGATGTGTACAGGTCTAAAAGACATGAGTGACCAACCGATCAGGAAAGTGTACATGACGACCACTGCGAGTGATATATACAGTGTCCGTAGAAGAGTGAATACGTCTGGTGGCGGAAGTGTTAGGGTTGGTGGTGGCAGTCGGAGTTGGCGGACAGGAGGGCAGAGAGAAAATACGGGACGGTGGAATAGAGGCTGCATGGGGGAAGCAGAATGTAGAAGACCACAGGGCTCATCCGGAGGAGTGTCCGGGACGGCAGCCTTGAGGCGGTCCACACTCACGACCTCTTCACGATTGTCGCGCTGAATGCCGAAAGTCTTCGGCTCGCGAGAGAGCACCCAAAATGGGCCGTCATAGGGCGGTTCCAGAGGCCGGCAGACTCAATCACATCGAAGGAAGACGTGAGAGCCCGTAGCCAAGTCCTTCTCGAGATAAGACGGAGAGGCGGATGACCTTGGAGGAACCGAAGAAAGTGTCCGCATAAACTGCCGGAGGCGATGCAGGAGGTTGGTAAGATCCTCCACTGCACCTTGAGGGGTTGGCGAGATCATCTCACCGGTGAGTCGGACGGTGGAGCCGAACACCAGTTCAGCTGCGGAACAATCAAGGTCCGGCTTCAGAGCGCAACAGATGCCCAAGGGGACCAGGGGAAGGCTGTCCGTCCAGTTCTCCAGATCGGCTGCGGCGCGTAGGGAGGCCTTTAGCTGACGGTGAAATCGCTCGACCATCCCGTTAGAAGCCGGGTGATACGCTGTAGTCCGGATGCGGGTACAGCCTAAAAAGGAGAGTAAAGACTGGAAGAGGTTAGACTTAAACTGGACACCACGGTCAGTCATGATTGTGGAGGGTGAACCAAAGATAGCAACCACAACGACTGAGAAAAGCCTTGACCACCGTTGGAGCAGCAATCTCAGGCAGGAGAATAGCTTCAGGCCACCAAGTGAACCGATTCACACAGGTGAGGAAATAGGAACAACAATTGGACAGAGGCAGGGGGCCTACAATATCCAGGTGAACGTGGCTGAACCGTGAACCTGGGCCAGGGAAGGTCACAATGGGGACCTTGTTGTGCAGCTGGATCTTTCTCCGTTGACAGGCCATACAAGCTCGCGTCCAGGCTTTCAGCCCTTTGTGCATTCCAGGCCAGACAATGCGGTGGGAAACCAGCTTGTCGGTTGTTCGACTCCCAGGATGAGAGAGATTGTGCAGGGAGGAGAAAACTTTACGGCGGAGGGATGGTGGCCCAAATGGACAGTGGGATAGGGGTGGATATGTCGCATAGAATAGTGCCGTTGCCAGTTGTCAGTGGTAGCTCCTGAATATGGAGTCCGGAAACATCCTCATCACAGGGTGGACTGACACGGCGTTGTTCAGCGGCCATCTCAGCGAGGTCTATCCCAGGTGAAAGCTAAAGATGAGCAATAGAGGGCCTGGAGTGTGCGTCAGCAACCTCATTCTGTGACCCGTCAAAATGGCGGATGTCTGCAGTGAACTGCGAAACGTAGTCCAGGTGACGGATCTCCCGAGGCTTATCTTGTCAGATTGGGAATGCATTGCAAACGTGAGTGGCTTATGATCTGCGAAATTTGTGAACGCTCTACCTTCGAGTAAATGCCAGAAGTACCTTACGGTAAGATAAGCGGCGAGAAGTTCACGTCCGAATGTGCTGTAGCGGGTTTCGGCCTTGGATAGTTTCTTGGAGAAGAAAGCCAATTGCACAGTAGAATCTTGCAGACTTTGTTGAAGAACCGCGCCAACAGCAACATTGGAGGCATCGACCATCAGAGATATGGGTGCATCAGCATGAAAGTGCGTCAGGAGGGTGGCATCAGCTAAAAGGAATTTTACTTGCTCAAATGACGTGAGTGCTTTTAGTGTAAGCTTAAAGGTACGCTTAGAACCTGAGATAAGATTGATCAGATGTAGGATGGTATTGGCACAGTTCGGGAAAAACCGGCGATAAAAGTTCATCATACCAAGAAACCGTTGAAACTGACGACTTGAGGTAGGGGTGGAAAGTACCGAATAGTGGTAACCTTTGAAGGAATAGGCCGACAGCCGTTTGAGTCTATCAGGTGACCTAATAACTCAAGAGAATTGGCTCTTAGGACACATTTGAAAGGATCCAGGGTGACACCAAACTGCTGAAATCGGTCAAAAAGCAGGGTAAGGTGATGGAGATGTTCCTCGACATCTCGACTGGCGACGAGAACGACATCAATATACGCATAAACAAATGGAAGGCCACGTAAAACACGGTCAATGAAAGGTTGGAAAGTCTGTATGGCATTTCGGAGACCAAATGGCATACGAAGGAGTTCAAACAAACCAAAAGTTGTCGCCACTGCCGTTTTGGGAATGTACTCAGCCACAATCGGAATTTGATGAAAATCGATCTTCAAGAAAACGGTTTTGCCGCAGAGAGCTCCGGCAAAGTCCTGAAGATGAGGAACTGGATACCGACCGGTCACAGTTATATTGTTTAGGACCCTATCATCTCCACAAGGACGCCAATCATCCGTATTTGGTTTAGGAACCATGTGCAAAAGAGATGCCCAGGGACTGCCAGACTGTCGAATAATCCCTTGTTGCAGCGTGCGGTCAAATTCTGCTTTAGCAGCGGCAACACGCGGAAGCAAGACGACGAGGACGAGAGAAAACGGGAGGACCAGTCGTTTTTATGTGATGAGCAATATCATGGGGAAATGAGGTGTCAGAAAAATGGGGTTTAGAGAGGGTAGGATATTTTGCTAAAAGTCTACGAAATGGACAGTCAGGATTTGGGTCAAGGGCAGAGAGCTGGTTAGAAGCTGAGGATGAAGGAAATCCTTTGACGGTGAGGGTAGTTGTTCAATCATGGAGGCGAAGTTTTCTGTAATCCACCAAAAGGGCAAAGTCGGCCAAAAAATCTGCCCCAACGATAGCGGTGAGAACATCAGCGACCACAAATATCCAGGGGAATAATCGTCGGAGACCAATATATACTAATATTATAAGTATTAATAGTAGTAGTAAAATTATTAGCTGCAATATTAATGGTAGCTGGCGCAATAGCATAGGCAATCGCACACTTAGATCTGGCAGTAATATTAGTTGAATCAGTAGTAAAATAAGTATTGGTAGTATGAGTTTAATAATAATAGTAGTAACAGCGGCAGTGGTAGTAGTAGAAGTAAAAGTAGTAGTAGTATTATAAGGAGAAATAGATTTATTATTAGTAGACGTGGTAGTAGCCGCGACAGCATTATGAGTAGTATTTGTAGTAGTAGTACTAGTACCAGTAGTAGTAGTAGTAGAAGTAGTAGAAGTAGCAGTAGCATCAGTGGTAGCAGAAGTATAAGTATAAGAATTAGTATTATAAGTAGTATTAGCAGTGACAGCAACGGTGGTAGAAGTACCGGCAATAATTGTGATAGTATTGGTAGTCGAAGAAGTATCAGCAGAACTGTTATTATTAGAAGTAACAGTGATAATAGCAGCGGTACTAGAAGCTTTATTAATACTAGCGTCAGCATTTGTATTATAAGCAATAGTGGTAGTAGTAGTAGTAGTCGTAGTAGTTCTGGCAGTGGTAGTCGTACCACTGGTTGAATAAATAGTTGTATTGGGAGTAGATGAAATGTTAGTAGTATAATTAGTAGTAGTGGACGTGATTGTGGTAGAAGCGGCAGCAGTAATGTGGTATTAGTAACAGAAGTAGAGGTTTTAGAACTAATCTTAGTAGTAAAATTATTAGAACAAGCAGTAAAAGGAATAGAAGAATAGATAGTAGCATCGGCAGAAGTAGCAATATAAGTATTAATTCTAGTTTTTCGCAGAACAAGTAGTAGAAGTAATAGTACTAAGAGGAATCGAATTTGAATTACAGTGGTAGACCAAGTAGCGGTTGAAGAAATATCAATGGTGGAAGTTGTAGCAGTATTAGTAATTGTTGTAGTCGCAGTATTAAAAGTAGTAGCCGTAGAAAAATTATCACTGTTGTATTAATAGCAATAGTAATAGTAGTAGTGGTGGTAGTATTAGTAACAGTAGTAGTGGCATTGTTACTAGGATGCAATGGTACTAGTAGTAGTAGTAGTAATAATGATAATAATGCTAATAAAATTGGTAGAAAAGTAACAGGTTGTTTTAAGGGAAGAAATAGTTGTGGTAGTATTTGCAGCAGTAAAATTGATATTATCAGTAGGAGTAGAAGTAGTGTCAATGGTACTTACACCAGTAGAAGCATTTCTTGTATTAGAATCAGAGGAATTACCAATATTATTTGTAGAAGTGTAAGTATGAGTAAATTATGACTAGTAGTAATAATAATAGTAGTAGTATCATTGGTACCACTAGTAGCACTGGTGGTATTTATAGCACTATAAATATCAGAAATAGAAAAAATAACAATCATGTCAATGGGAGAAGTGGTAGCATAAGACACGTCAGTAGCAGTTTTAGTAGAAGTAGTAGTAGTGACAGTAGTAGTATTAGTAGTTGTAGAAGTAATCGAGTTGGAATTAGGAGTAGTATTAGTATCAGAAAATTTAATAGTTGTTGTTGTTAGTGCCGTTGTCGATGTAATTGATGTGACAGCAGCAGCAGCATTAATAGCCTAATTAATGGAAGTAGTTGCAAAACTGCCAGCGGTAAGAGCAATTTTAGTAAAATTATGAGAAGTAGCAGTTTTAAAAGAAGAAAGAGTATTAGTAGCAGTAAATATAGAAGAATCTGGGGTACAAGTAGGGGAAGTGGTATTTATAGAAGAAGTAGCATTGTGAGAAGAAGATATACAAGTGGTATTAGAAGTAGTAGCAGTAGAATAAGTAGTAATAATAGAAGAAAAAATTGTAGACATAATAGTAGCAGTAGAAGTAGTTTTAGCAAAAATAATAGTGGTATAATTATCAGTTGTATTGCTGGCAGCTGTCGATGAGGCAGTAGTAGTAGTAATACTATAAGCAGTTGTAGTAGTTTTATTCGTAGCATTAGATTTACTAGTAGCAGTACCAGCAGTACCATCGATGGCATTAGTAGAATTAGTGGTAATAGTAGCAGCATAAGCATCGGTAGCAATAAAAATCTAGCAGCAGCAGCAGTAGTAACAGAATAATTAACAGAGGCTTGTAGTACCTTTAATGGTATGTTGAATATCTGAAATAAAAATATCAGTAGTATAATAAGTTGTTGTAGTAATATTAGTAATATTTTTAGAAACATAACGTGTGTAGTATTAGTATTTGAACAAATCACAGTTGGGTTATAACTAATAGTGTAACAGAATTATAACATTTAATATTTATAGAAGCATTATCAGTGGTAATAATGGTAGTCTTGGTTGAAGATGTCGCAGTAGTAGTAGTAGTAGTAGACGAAATGTTAGCAGTCGTATTACTAGAACAACATTTGTATTAATAACAGTAATAAAAGCAGTCGTATTAGTGGCAGTGCCAATAGAAGCAGAATATGCAGTATTAGTAGTAGATGTAATAGTAGTAGAATTATAAGTAGCAATATAACTTGTACTAGTAGTAGTAGTAATATGATAATAACTTATCAACGTGAAAACAGGGTTAGAAGCATAAGTATTAGTAGTAGTAACAGCGGCAATGTTTTAAATAGCAGTAGACGTAGCAGTACGTATAATAATAGAAATTGAAGAAGTAGCAGCGGTAGCAGTAGTCGTAAAAGTAGTAGTAGTAGTAGTAGTAGTAATATCTGTAGCAGTAGTATTCGTCGTAGAAAGAGTAGCAGTAGAAGCATCGGTGGCAGTAGAAACAGCGGATGTGGTATTGGTAGTAATAGAATTCGTAGAACGAACAGTTTTAGAATTTTCAGTGACAGTAGCGTATGTAGTTCTAGCATGAGCAGAAGCAGTTTAATTAATAGCAGTGGGGTAAGTAGTTAAATTAGTTGATGAATGAATAGCAATGATAGACAAATAAGTCGCAGTGATAGTAGTAGTAGTAGTATTAGCAGCAGTACCAGCGGTAAAAGTATAAGTGGTAGTAGTAGTTGTAGTAGTAGTAGAAGAAGAAGCAGTTGTAGTAAAAGTAGAAGAAGTAGTATTGGTAGTTTTAGATGTATTAGTTGTAGTATTAGTAGTAGCCATAGAAGTACTTGTTGTTGAAACAGTGGCATTGCTATTTGTACTAGTAGAGTTAGGAGTAGAAGTAATAGTAGAAGTAATGGTGTTAATAAAAGTAGTATCTGAAATAGAAGTGGCAGTTAAAGTAGTAGCAAATGTAGTAGTAGTAAAATTAGTAGAAGTAGAGGTAGTTGAATTAATATCAGTGATAGAATTAGTAGTAATAATAGGAGATAGAAAGTTTTGGTATAAGGAACAATAGTAGTGATAGAATTAGTATTAACACATGGAACATCGGTAGGAGTATTGGTAGTATTAGTTATAGTAGTAATAGTAATACGAGTAGAGATAGAAGAATTAATAGTGATACTAGTATTATGGACGATTGCATTGGTAGCAGCAGCAGAATTTTTAGTTGCAGCAGAATAAACAGTAGTAATAGTAGCAGTAGCAGTAGTTTTAGTTGTAGTATGAGAAGTAGTAGTAGCTTTATTAGGAGTATTAGCAATAATAATGGTTGTAGTGTAAGAAGTGGAAGTTATTCATTTAGGACTAGCAGTAGCTGAGTAAATAGAATTGATAGCAGCAGCAATTGAAGCAGTGGTATTAATAGAATTCGTATTGATAAAATTTGTAGTAGAATCAGTGGTAGGATTAACGGTAAAATAAGTTAATAGTAGGAGTTGCATCAACATTAGAAGTAATAGTATAC